GTTGCTGCTGCTGCTGCTGCTGCTGCAGCTAGGCCGCGTCTCAGCGTCTTCGTGTGGGGCCCCTGCGGAGCTGCTGCCGCTTAACGCTTTGCTGCAGTCTCTTCCTTTTACCCTCACCCCGTCTCAAATAGCTGTACGCAAATACCTTGCTGCTGCTGCTGCTTCTGCTGCTGCTGCTGCTGCTGATTCGGCTGCTGCTGCTGCTGGCACTGCTTTGGCTGCTGCTGCTGTTGCTGAAGCTGCAACAGAGGCGCAGAGAAGCAGCAGCTCTCCGTAACCCCACGGGGTGTCTGTACACCATAAAGCGGCTTTGCTGCTGCTGCTGCTGCTGCTGCTGCTGTCTATACACCTCAGAAGCTGCAGATACACCCGAATATTGTGTCTCTTTTTCCTCTTAGGCCCTCAAAGACATACAGCGCGACATGGCGCTGCCGACGCCCATGAGGAGACTCGTGCAGGGTAGCACCTGCTGCTGCTGCTGCTGCTGCTGCTGCTGCTGCTGCTGCTGCTGCTGCTGCTGCTGCTGATGGAGTTGCCGCTGCTTCTGGGTGTCTGTGTGCTTCCGCTGTCTCTCTGCTGCTGCTGCTCTGCCCGGCCCAGCTTTTACCGCCTCCACCGCAGCCATCCCCAGCTACCCCTCTGCTGCTGCTGCTGCTGCTGCTCCTGCTGCTCCTGCTCCTGCTGCTGCTGCTGCTGCAGGCGACGTGGGCAGCGGCAAGACAGTAGTTGCTGCTGGGGCAATGGCTCTCTCGGCCTTGCGGGGAAATCAGGCGGCGCTGCTGGTGCCCACGACGGCCCTGGCCAGGCAGCACCAGAAAGTGTATGGCTGCTGCTGCTGCTGCTGCTGCTGCTACTGTTCTTGCTACTGCTGTTGCTGCTGCTGCCGGTACTACTACTGCCACTGCTGATGCTGCTGCTACCGTTACCACTGCTGCTGCTACTGTTGTTGCTGCTTCTGCTGGTGGCTCTATGGTGCTGCGGCGGGAACTCCTGCTGCTGCTGCTATTGCTGCTGCTGCTGCTGCTTTCTCCGTCGCTATTATTATTGCTGCCCCTGCTGCTGCTGCCCCTGTTGCTGCTGTGCATGCCGTTAGTTTTTTGTTTTTCTTGTCACTGCTGCTGCTGTGAGTGCTTTTGTTCCTTTTCGCTGGTGCTCTGCTACTGTGGCTCTTTCGTTCGTTTTTGCTGCTGCTGCAGTTGCTGCTATTGATTTAGTTCCTGCTGCTGCTGCTATTGCTGCTGCTGCTGCTGATTTTCCTGCTGCTACTGTTGGTGAAGGCAACATCGCTGCCTTTTGTCGTCTTTGGTCCGCTTGCTGCTGTTGATGCTAGTGTTGTTGCTGCTGCTGCTGCTGCTGGGGTTTCAGCGTCTGCCGCTGCAGCTAATTGTTGCTGCGCGTGTAGCCATTGTCGCTGTTGCTGCTGCTGCTGCTGCTGCTGTTTCTGCTGCTGGTGTTGTTGCTGCTCGTGCTTTGGGTCCAGGATTTACGATTCATGTTCCAGGGTGTAGGGTGTAGGGTTTAGGGTTTAGGGTTTAGGGTTTAGGGTTTGTGTATCTTCGCAGCATTGGGGAACTGCTGTCTCCGCTGGGCCTTCACGTTGCTCTTCTGACGGGCCATTTGCCAAATAAAGAACAAGTCACTCAGGCCATTAACGTCAGCTAGGGTTTAGGGTTTAGGGTTTAGGGCTTAGGGTTTAGGGCTTTTAATTTAGCAACAAAGATCTCGGGTCATGCTTTAGGGCTTCGAGTTTTAAGGTTCAAGGTGTGGGGCTCAGGGCTTAGGGCTTGGGGTCTAGGGTTTAGGGTTTGATGTTAAAGCTTTAGGGTTTAGGGCTTAGGGTTTAGGGTTTAGGGTTTGTCCTTGTGCGGATTAACAGAAGGGGGAGCAGCAGATTGTAGTCGGGACGCATGCGCTGCTGCAGCGACATGTCAAATTCCCCCGGTATGCTGCTGCTGCTGCTGCTGCGGCTGCTTCGTTTGCTGCTGTTGTTGGCGCTGCTCATGCTGCTGCTGCTGCTGCTACATCTGCTGCTGCTGCTGCTGCAGCTAGAGCCGCATGCGGGATCCCGCTTTCAAATGGAGCTCATCAACTGATATTAATCTTGTGCTGAATAAGCTTTAAATGATAAATAATAAATAAAAAGTAATAAATAAATAAATAAATAAATAAATAATTTGTTTTTTCTCCAGGCTGGGATTGCTGGTGATCGACGAGCAGCACAAATTCGGTGTCCGACAGCGCAGCAAACTGCTGCGGGACTGCATGCGCGCGCAGCCGGAAGCAGCAGCAGCAGCAGCAGCAGAGGGGAAGCAGCAGCAGCAGCAGCAGCAAGGGGACAAAGGGACAAAGGGGCTGTGTGACGTGCTGCTGCTCACCGCCACCCCCATCCCCCGAACTCAACTTATGTCGCACTGCGGTTTGCTGCAACTCTCGAAGCTTCAGCCCAGGCCAGCAGCAGCAGCAGCAACAGCAGCAACAGCAGCAGCAGCAGCAGAAGCCGAAGCAGAAGACACGGCCTCTGGGGCCACCGCCCCAGCGGCAGCAGCAAATTCTAAAGAGCCAGCGCAGCTGCCACACCAGCGCGCAGCAACAACAGCAGCAACAACAGCAGCAGCAGCAGCAACAGCAGCAGCAGCAGCAGGGGCCTCCCCTCGCGTACAAACGAGGGTAATTGAGAGAGAGGACGAAGCAGCTCTAGCTGAGGTGTACGTACACCTCAAAAAATGCATTGCGGAGGGGCAGCAGGCCTATTGGATTTGTCCCTTTGTGCAGACAGGAGCTGCTGCAGCAGCAACCAGCAGCAGCAGCAGCAGCAGCAGCAGCGGCAGGGAAACAGCAGGGCGAGGGACTGCTGCTGCAGCGTTTCGAGAACTTCGCAGGAGACTGCCAGGCGTGCAGTGAGCAGCAGCAAAGTGGATAAATAAATAACTGCATTAATTAGTTAAGTAATTAATTCATAAATTAATCTTCTATTTAATTAATTAATAATAATAAATTAATTAATTTGTTTTATAATCTGAGAATAAAATGTATTGGTGAATGTTGGGGCTGCCTGGCAGCAAGTAAATACTGCCGTAAACATTGTTGCTGCTGCTGCTGCTGCGGCGGCTGCTGCTATTGCTGCTGCCGCTATGCTGCTGCTGCTGCTACATCCGCTGTTGCTGCTCCTGCTGCTGCTATTGCTCCTGCTACAGCTGCTGCTGTTGCGGCACTATATTGGCGCTGTTTCTGCCCCTCACTTCTGCTGCTGCTGCTACACCTGCTATTGCTGCTGCTGCTGCTACTGCTGCTCTTTCCGCTGCTGCTGCTGCTGCTGCTGCTGCAGGCTGGGTCTGCTGCACGGGCGGCTGCAGGGGAAGGAGCAGCAGCGAGTGCTGCATGCGTTTGGGGCTGGATTAATTTCTGTTTTAGTTTCCACAACTGTTGTTGAAGTGGGAATTGATGTTCCTGCTGCTTCTTTTATCGTCATCGACGCTGCAGAGAGGTGAGGATTTAGGGTTTAGGGTTTAGGGTTTAGGGTTTGGGGTTTAGGGTTTATTTGTTTGTTTGCTTGTTTTCTTGTATGTTTGGATGTTTTGTCTATCATTTTATTTATTATTTTTTAGATTTTATTGTTTAATTACTTTTTTATTTTTTTATTTTCGTTTTCTTTTTTGATTGGCTGTGTCATTTCCCATGCATTTATTGAATATCATTTTTGCCTTTTATTTTTTATTTTTGTTCTCTATTTCTTTTATTTTTAACTTTTTAAATTGTTATTTCTTTTTATATTTATTTTCTTTCTTAATTTTTGTTCTTTTTTACTTTTAATCTTTTTTATTTTTATTTTTATCTGCTTTCTTTATTCTTATTCCTCTAGTTTCTTTTTATAAATTTACTTCCTTTTATTTTTGTATTGCTTTAGTCATTTATTTACTTTTTTATTTTTCATTCTTATTTCTATTTAATTTATTCTTTCGTTTCATTTGCTTATTGCTTCATCTTTTATTTCTTCCCATATTAATTAGATTAATTAATTAATTCAATTACTTCAGTTTAATTTAACTCAATTAACTTAATTTAATCAATTTATTTTTATTAATTTAATTTAATTAATTCAATTTAATTAATTGAATTTAACCAATTTAATTAATTTAATTCAATTTAATCCAATTTAATTGATTTAATTTAATTAATTTAATTTAATTAATTTCATTTATTCAAATTAAATTAATTAATTTAATTAATTTAATCAATTAAAATAATTTAATTAATTTGACTTAATTTAATTAATTAAATTAATTTAATTTAATTTCAGATTTGGCATTAGCCAACTCCACCAGCTGCGGGGCCGCGCCATGAGGGACCCCAGCAGGCCGGCAGTTTGTTACCTTCTTTACAACTCCAAAAAAGAGGTAATAATAAATAAATAAATAAATAAATTAATTAATTAATTAATTAATTAATTTGGGTTAGTTGGGCAATGCATTGAGCAACAGCTCTCAAGAGCCCCAGGTTGAGCGCCCCTTTTACCTCCGCAGCACAGGGTTTAGGGTTTAGGGTTTAGGGTTTAGGGTTTAGGGTTTGTGCCTGTAGGGTTTGGACGAGCGGGCCCAGGCCCGCCTAGCAGCAGCAGCAGCAACAAATGATGGATTTAAAATAGCAGCAAGAGATGCAGCACTAAGGGGACAGGGAACTATTTTCGGAAAACACCAACACGGCAGAACTGACTTAGGGTACGCCCAATCCTGGGGGCCCCTCGGGGGCCCCTCGGGGGCCCTTTGGGGGCCCGTTGGGGGCCCCTTGGGCGCCCCCACGGGGCTCCTTTGGGGCCCTCGGGGGCCCCTTGGGGGCCCTTTCGGGGCCCTTTGGGGGCCCTTAGAAACCCCTGGGGGCCCCCAGAAGCCTTCAGCTTGTCTCTTATTTATTCATTTATTTATTTATTCATTGTTACATATTTTCATCTGTGTATTATTTCTTCAGCATAAATTTCTTTGTTTTTTATTAAATACTTTGATTGTAATTATTCATTTATTTGTTTATTTTTGCATAATTCCTTTTGGCCATTTCTTCTTTCTTTTTAAACTGCTCACTCCTTTTAACTGTTTACCAATTCTTTATCTATTATTCATTATTCATCATTTATTATTTGTTATTTATCACTTATTATTCATCATTTATTATTTATTATTCATTCTTTATTATTTGTCATTTGTTATTAACCATTTATTATTTGTTATTTATTATGTACCTTTACCACTTATTAATGATATTTATTATTTTCATTCATATAATTATATAAAGAGTAAAATAAGTACATATTTATTTCTTTATTTTATTTTATTTTTTATTTTCTTTTTTGTTTTTCCTCTCAGGCTCTTCGCGGGAATGTCTCTTCAAGAGAAAATGAATTTGCAGGCGGAAGCAGCAGCAGACGCGCGGGAACTTTTGGAGATTTATTTAAAATCCAACAAAATGAAAAATAAATACCTTTTCAATCACAACAACACCACTAAACCCGCAGGCTGCAGCAGCAGCGCTGCGGGGGCCCCCCAGGTGCCCCGGGAGGGCCTCGAGGAGCCTCACGGGGGCCCTGAGGGGCCCCCCCCTTGTGGGGGTTCTGGGGGGCCCCCTGAATGGGCCAAAAGGGTAAATGGAGCTCCAGAGGAAGAAGTTGTGGAGGAGACAAAAAGATTACTTGAGGCCCTAAAGGCCTTAATGCCGCAGGAGAAAACCGATTGGATTGTGGCAATTTAATTTGCTGCTGCTGCTGCTGCTGCTTTCGCTGCTGCTGCAGCTGGATGTCGCGCTGCAGCTGCAGCTGCGGGGGGTTGCGGCAGCTTCTCGCATCAGCTGCAGCCGCTGCACTTGCTGCTGCTGCTGTATTTGCTGCTGCTGATGTTGCAGCAGCAGTAGCTGCTGCTGCTGTTGCTGGCTTGCAGCAGCAGCTTGAATGCATTGCGGCCAAAGCTCTGCTGCTGCGTTCGTCCTTTGCTTCTTTTTTATCAAGAGTTTGTCAACTAAATGGTTAAATAATTATGAATCAAATAAATAAATAAATAAATAGATAAATAAATTAATTAATTGGTTAATTAATAATGTAATTGTTTGTTTATTTATTTCTATTACTTTCGTCTTTTTGTGGGCTTCACAAGGAGGCAGTTTGTTCCCAATTTTTTTTCTCTTCGTGTCTTTTTTTCTTTTCTTTTTCCATTATCTGCTCTTGTTTCTTTATTCCTTTTTGTCCCTTTTTTGTCTCTTTCTGTCCCTTTTTTTGCCTCCTTTTGTCCCTCTTGTCCCCTTTTTAATGTCTTTTTAAATCTTCTTTTTGTCTTTTTTGTTTATTTTTGTTCCCCTGCTGGCAGCAGCAGCAGCACGCTAGTTTCTTTCTTTTCTGCTTTTGTTTGGAGGGTCTGCTGCCCCTCGACTGAAACAAATACATTTAAGACCCTTTTATTTTATTCCGCTTCGTGGGGCCCCCGGGGGCCCCCTTAGGGGCCCCCGGGGGCCCTCTAGGGGTCCCTAGGGGGGCCCCCAGGGCGCCCCTACGGGGGCCCCCTGGGAAGCCCCTAAGAGTGTCCTTAGGGGTCCCTGGGGGAGCCCCTACGGGAACCTCGGGGGGCCCCTGGGAAGCCCCTAAGAGTGCCCTTAGGGGCCCCTATGGGGGCCCCTATGGAGGCCCCTATGGGGGCCCCGAGGGGCCCCCCGGGGGGCCCTCGCTGAGAATCTCTAATAAGCCAATTTGAGGGGCCCCACCGCTTGTCTCTTATCGTATTATTTCGTCTTTTTGAGATACATGAAAAACAAAAAAGGAAAAAAAAGAAAAAAGACAAAAAAAGATTAAAAAGATGAAATGAGACGAAAGAAACAAAGGAGAAATAAGGGGACACAGAGGAGACAAAAGAATGCAAAAAGGAGACCAAGAAAAGACAAAAATGAAACAGAAGAGACAAAAAAGATTTTAAAAAATAAGAGACAAAAAAGAAAGATTTAAAAAAGAAAAAAAGGGAACAAAAACAGACAGTGTCAAGAGACACAGTGACATGAAGGAAACAAATAAATAATTTGCGAAAAATAAAAATAAAAAAGTAAAAAGGAAATAAAAAATAAAACAAAACGGAAAAGATATTAAAGAGGTATTAATGCATGCACGCCGAGTGTACGTACACCTGGAGCATTTGCGCAAGTATTTGCAAATAAAGAAAAACATAATTGTATTTTAAAATAAAATAAAAGCAAAAAAGAATTCAAAAAATTGAATAAATTGAATTGCTGTCTTCAGATGTATCTTCACCTGCAGCAAACTGCCTCAGGCCTTGTTAACACCAAGGCGAGAAGCAGCCGCTTGCTGCTGCTGCTGCTGCCGCTGCTGCTGCAGCTGTTGCTGCTAGTGCTCATGCTGCGGCTGCTGCTCTTACTTCTGCTGCTGTCGCTGCTGCTGCTGTTGCTGCTTCTGCTGGGGTGAGCTAGAGCCCCCGAGCTCTTGCCCGCGGTTCCAAGCCATCAGCAGCAGCACAGCAGCAGCACAGCAGCAGCAGCAGCGGTAGCAGCGGCTTAACGCCTGCGGCTGGCGCAGCAGCTCGTTTAGAACTTGTCTCCTTTTGCTTCTTGTCTGTCTCCTTCCTGCAGCAAGTCCAACGAGCTTGCTGTTGTGTGGATCTTTTCTAAATAGAATTTGTCTCCTTTTGTTTGCTGCTGCAGCTCTTCCAGCAGCAAGAAGTTGCTGCTGCTGTGGGGCCCCTCGGGGATCGGGATCGGGATCGTCTCCACCCCACACGATCCCCACAGCGACAGCAGCTCCAGCGAAGCCCTGCGCTGCGCCGAAGCAAGTGCTGCTGCTGCTGCATGCAGCGCAGCAGCTTCGGCTTCTGCTTCTGCTGCTGAGGCCTCTACAGTCAGCAGCAAACTGGCAGCTGCTGCAGAGGCAACAGCAGCGGCGTCTTCCTGCTGCTGCTGCTGCCGCGCCTGCTGCTGCTGCATGCGTTGGGGCTGGCAGCAACGGGAAGAAGCAGTTGTGGGGCGTTTTACAGGGGTTGTTGTCCGCCTTGCAGAAAGTGCTGCTGGAGCTTGCTGCTGCTGCTGCTGTTGCTGCTGTTGCTGCTGTTGCTGCTGCTGGCTTGCTGCCTTGGGCTTTAAAAGTAGCTCTCCAGTGCTGTGGGACCTCCTGATGTGTCTGCTGCTGCTGCTCCTGTTGCTGCCAGCAGTCAGTCGAGTTGCTGCTGCTGCTGCTGACTGCTGCAACAGGATATTGTGGCTGCTGCGTGTGCTGCCGCAGACAAACGGGGCAGGTGTGGAGGCCCTTTTGGCCTTGATGGGGGTTCTTTGTCTTCTTGCTGCTGCTGCTGCTGCTGCTGCTGTGCTGCGTGGAGCAGCAGCTGCAGCAGCGCCGCCGGCGCGACAGGCAGCAGCAGCAGCAGCAGCAGGTGAAGAAGCCTCTGCTGCATATGGGCTTAGGCAGTGAAGCTGCGCAGCACTATGGGACTTCCTGAAAACGGCTGCTGCTGCTGCTGCTGCTGCCAGCTGCTGCTTTTTAGAGACAGATGCCCTCAGGGGGCCCCCCACAGGAATATCTCTGGGGACAGGTAAAGTCCATCGACCCACAGGGAACAGAAGAGGGGCCCCCTGCTGCTGCTGCCGCTGCTGCTGCTGCTGCTGCAGGAGTTGCTGCTGCTGCGGTGAAGCGAAGTGCAGCGAGGCTCTCACTGCTGACGGCTGCACGCCGTTCTCCTGCTGCAGGAAATACTGCTGCTGCTGTAGCTGCTGCTTCTGTTGCTGCTGCTGGAGCAGCAGCTGCTGATACTGTTGTTTCTGGACTTCGTGATGCAGCTGCTGCTGCTCTCTTTGGCGATAGGCTAGCCTTTCCTGCAGCTGCTGCTGCCGCAGCAGCTGCTGCTGCGGCAGCACGCCTTCAGCAGCAGCAGCAGCAGCTGTTGCTGTATTTGTGCTGCGCTGCAGCCCGAAGTTGAGGTCCACATCACGCTGCTGCTGCTGCTGCTGCAGCTGCTGCAGCTGCTGCAGTCGGCGTTCCTCTGCTGCTTCCTCCAGCAGCTGCAGCAGCATAAGTTTCAACTGCTGCCGCTCCCTGCTGTTCGACGAGGGGCCCCCAGGGGCCCCCAAAAGGGCCCCAGGTTGCTGCTGCCTCGGGTGTACGTACACCCCATCCTCTGGGGCCCCACAGCCAGCCCCACACCCTTTGCTTCT